CCATTACCGCTATTATCATCATTATTGTTGATATTATCTTGATGATTATGATGATGATGATAGTGATGGTTATTATTACTTGATGATTTTCATTATTATTGTTAGCATTATCATTATTATTATCATTATTATTATCATTGTTATTATTATTATTATTATTATTATTATCATTATCGTTATTATTATTATTTCATTATTATTATTATTGTTATCATTATCGTTATTATTTTCATAATTATTTATTATGGTTTTGGTGTTGCTTTATCATAATTATTTTCATTGCTATTGTTATTATCATTATCATTATCATTATTGTTGCTGTTATTGTTGTTGCTTATTGTTGTTGTCATTATTATTATTTTACTATTATATTTATTATCATTGTTATAATTGTTATTATTGTTGTTATTATTATCGTAATTATTGTTATTTTTACTATTATTATTATTATCATTGTCATTATTATTGATATTGATATTATTAATGTTATCATCATTAGTATTATTATTATTGTGTTTTATCATTATTGTTGTTGTTGTTTTTGTTGATGTTATTGTTATCATTATTATGATAATTATATCATTATTTTATTATCATTGTTATTATCATCAGTATCATTATTGTTTTTTTTATTATTATTATTGTTATTATTATTATTATTACTATTTATTTCTATTATTATTATTATTATTATTATTATTATTATTATTATTACTATTATTATGGGTATCATCATCATTATTATTATTATTAATATCATTATCGTTATATTCAAACTGTTATCATCATTTTTATCGTTATTATTTACCATTGTTATTTCTGCTATTTATGTTATCATTATCATCATAACGGCAAGAATGATAATGATAACAAATCAATTAAAATTCATAAAACAAGTAATAGTGATGATTTACTTAATGATGACTGTGACTCTAATAACACTAAGAGCCACATTAATGATGATGATAACCATGATGACAGTAACAATTACCAAATGATATATATAATAAAAACAAAGAGGTGTTGTTATATTTGTTAATCATGGAGTCATGGTACAATAATCAAATATCTTGAATTACATAATAATAGTTACGCAATTAGCATTAGTAATGAGATTGGTTAATGAAGCAATAACAAAAACAACATTTGATCGATTATGATAATAAGTCAATGGATAATATTATGACGGCGTACTGATGGATTTGATATTGAAATGGTAGATTTAGATATTGAAATGATAGATTTTGATGCTGAAATGGCAGATTGTGATGCTAAAATGGTATAGATTTTGATGCTAAAATGGCAGATTTTGATGCTAAAATGGCAGATTTTGATGCTGAAATGGCAGATTTTGATGCTAAAATGGCAGATTTTGATGCTGAAATGGCAGATTTTGATGCTGAAATGGCAGATTTTGATGCTAAAATGGCAGATTTTGATGCTGAAGTGGTAGATTTTGATGCTTAAATGGCAGATTTTGATGCTAAAATGGCAGATTGTGATGCTGAAATGGCAGATTTTGATGCTGAAATGGCAGATTTTGATGCTAAAATGGCAGATTGTGATGCTGAAATGACAGATTTAGATATTGAAATGATAGATTTTGGATGCTGAAATGGCAGATTTTGATGCTAAAATGGCAGATTGTGATGCTGAAATGGCAGATTTTGATGCTGAAATGGCAGATTTTGATGCTAAAATGGCAGATTGTGATGCTGAAATGACAGATTTAGATATTGAAATGATAGATTTTGGATGCTGAAATGGCAGATTTTGATGCTGAAATGGCAGATTTTGATATTAGAAGAGGTAGATTTTATAGAGATGGCAGATTCTTATACACTCAAATGGCAGGCTCTGATAGTGAGATGACAGATTTTGATACTGAAATGGCAGATTTTCTTACTGATAAGGCAGATTTTGATATCGAAATGGAAGATTATGATATTGAAATGGCAGGTTTTGATAGTGAAAAACACTGAAAGTAGTTCTTATCGCTGGACTGGCAGATTTTGATGTTGGAATGACATATTTCAGCATTAAATTTCAACATTAAATTATAAACATCGAAAGCGCAGATTTGCACACAGAAACAACCAATTTTATAAAGAGGCAGAATATCATCATTGGACTTCAGATTTTAGTGTCTATTCGGTATTCTTTATATCCTAAGCGCTAATAACAAAGGTAACTTATAAGTAGAATATGTTTGATAACTACAGTGAATAACATTATATCCACGCCATGAAATTGATAACGAAAATTGTAGTTATTTCCCTGCTGACGATAATGTTAGTGGTAACGATGATAATGGTAAAATTTGTGAAAGCTGTTACTGTAGTGGTAGTTAAGGATAATGGTAGTTAGAAAAATCATACTTAGAGAAATAACAGTTTTGTGTATAATAACTATCATAATCTTTATGTAGAAAATCATAAAGAATTTTATGATAATGTTGATAAAATGGCGATAATCATGATAACGATGATTATTGTTATAGTAATGGCGAGGGAGAGCGACAAGTAACCACCAAACCCCCCTTTTCTTCCGCCCGCAGAATGGACCTGAGAGATTCGCCCGTCCTCATGTTTACGGCCTCCACGCCCACGCCCACGCCCACCGACGAGTCCGACGCCCCCGCCTCCCCGCCCGTCCGCCCCGACGTGGCCCGCGAAGCCGCCAGGGCCACGGCGGGCCTCGACCTGCCGTCCCCCGTGGCGCCCAAGAAGCCCCGCTACACGGCCGTGCCCACCCAGTTCCAGCACCAGTTCACGCCCGTCCTCAACCAGTACCGGCAGCAGTTCACGCCCGCGCCGAAGCCGTTCCAGGCGCAGCTCCCCGCCTCCGACTCCAGCTACATGTGGCCGCCCGGGGTGCATGCCCTGGCCGGCCTCGACGAGCTGCTCATCTGCCCGAGTAAAGGTGAGCGCCGGTCAGGGTCGCCGTTGCAGGGGTGGGGGTGGGGGGGTGGGGGCGGGGGGCTGCGTCTTTGTTTTCCCTTCCGTTTCTTAAATAGACGGTTGAACGTTCTCGAGGCTCTTGTCTAAAAGGATGAAAATCGGCGATGTTCCAGCGCGATTCGGTAAATATAGATCCTTAATGTTTGAATCTTTCTTCTTAATATTCTCAATGTTCTCGTCGGAAATGGTCGACAGCTTTGGACATCTGACTCTCCCCTCTTTGTTTCCTCAGTAGTTGCAATTAAAAAAAAAGAGCGAGACACTCGAGCCGGGACTTAGAAAACTCAGTTTCCGCTTACCAAGTTAATATCGGATAGCGGCGCGACATAACAAGGACATTACAGTCTTCTTTTACGAACCCAGCCGCAAAAGTGGAAAACTTTGTGAAATTGAAATATAATTCCGCCTTTTTCTTATCTTTTTACCGCTTCGAAATGCTCGTTACAGTCGTGTTTATCTGCTCCCACAAGCCCAGGCGTGTTTATCAGTTCCTGCAAGCGGAGTGGAAGTGAAAAAGGGAGTTCCTGGCGAGACATCCAGCGGTGTCATCGAGGGAGATGGCGTCTCTCCTTGCGAAAACTTTAAGTCCTCTTCCCGCTGGTCGAGTCTCCCGGGCCGGTTCTTAGGGCGCCGCGATTCCCATGATCAGCGGCGACCTTCCTTTCTTCAAAATAACGTCCTTTACGGTCTGGGAATTATGGACGCCGATCGCCTGCCGTCATTTCGAGGCGCGTTCTCTGTCATTTCAGACGGACGCTGTGGCTTCGTCGTCATTTCGCGCGGCGGATTGGTAACTGGGGCGAAGAGTAGAGTAAAGCATGCCTTCACGGAAACAAGATAGATTGCAACAATTTACTTGTGGATATCTAGTCGTCATACTATATGTATATATATATATATATATATATATATATATATATATATTTATATATTTATATATATACATATACTTATATATTCATTTATTTATATATTAAAATTTATATAATTGTTTATTTATGTATGAGTGTATGTGTGTGTGTGTGTAAATGAATAATACATGTATATATTATATGTATTATATGTTATATATTTTCATAAAATTTTATACATATATATATATATATATATATATATATATATATATATATGTATGTATATATTCTACCTATCTATATTAGTCTAATTATCTATCCATCTACGTATCTATCTACATTCACAAATTCACACACACATACACACACACACACACACACACACACACACACACACACACACACACACACACACACACACACACACACACACACACACACATACACACACACCCGCGGGGGGGGGGGGGGGGGGGGGGGGGGGGGGGGGGGGGGGGGGGGGGGGGGGGGGGGGGGGGGGGGGGGGGGGGGGGGGGGGGGGGGGGGGGGGGGGGGGGGGGGGGGGGGGGGGGGGGGGGGGGGGGGGGGGGGGGGGGGGGGGGGGGGGGGGGGGGGGGGGGGGGGGGGGGGGGGGGGGGGGGGGGGGGGGGGGGGGGGGGGGGGGGGGGGGGGGGGGGGGGGGGGGGGGGGGGGGGGGGGGGGGGGGGGGGGGGGGGGGGGGGGGGGGGGGGGGGGGGGGGGGGGGGGGGGGGGGGGGGGGGGGGGGGGGGGGGGGGGGGGGGGGGGGGGGGGGGGGGGGGGGGGGGGGGGGGGGGGGGGGGGGGGGGGGGGGGGGGGGGGGGGGGGGGGGGGGGGGGGGGGGGGGGGGGGGGGGGGGGGGGGCGGGGGGCTGCGTCTTTGTTTTCCCTTCCGTTTCTTAAATAGACGGTTGAACGTTCTCGAGGCTCTTGTCTAAAAGGATGAAAATCGGCGATGTTCCAGCGCGATTCGGTAAATATAGATCCTTAATCTTTCTTCTTAATATTCTCAATGTTCTCGTCGGAAATGGTCGACAGCTTTGGACATCTGACTCTCCCCTCTTTGTTTCCTCAGTAGTTGCAATTAAAAAAAAGAGCGAGACACTCGAGCCGAGACTTAGAAAACTCAGTTTCCGCTTACCAAGTTAATATCGGATAGCGGCGCGACA